CTAGGTCCCTTTAAAGGGATATACAAGCCCTGAACAACCTAACACAACAAGCATCGGGCTTTACATCCGAGAGGCGGGTCCAAAGACACGGTCAAAGTTGAACTGCTTGCTTTCCTTACTGGTTTTCTTCGGAATGGAGAAATGCTTATGGCAGCCCCTACAGAACCTTCTATCATGGCCATTCTCTAAGCCCTAAATCTTAAACCCTAAATCCTGCGACCAGCAAGTTTCGGATCCTTCCCTCGCTTGCAGTGTGACGCCGTCCGTTGCCTGGGCTCTGCATTTGGGACTTTCTCCAAAAAAGATGGGGGGCCAAGCGAAGTTATGGATTCAGGGTTTAGGCTTTAGGGTTTAAGGTTTAAGGCATTGTAGGGAAATTAATGAGAGGGGTCCTTATTGTTGGGGATTATACAGGGATGGTTTTGAACTCCCATTCAGGTCCAGGTCTGGGGGTTTGAGAGTTTTGGGGTTTGGGTGCGTTGGGGTTTATGGCTTGCTTGTTGGAGGGAATAAGTGTGGCACTATGGTGATTGTCATGTTCTCACAGATCTAGAACCTTTCGTAGAAGATGGCTTCTCAGATTAGATCGTGATCAACCACGACGTGTTGTGCGAGTACTCTACTAAACAAACCGACCCCCCCCCCTCCCAACAAAAAAAAAGGAACGCACAACCAATAAACTCCCGTATATTCCCACCAGAAGTCACACAGCGGTGTGACGCCCTGCAAAACTTCAACAAACTGGGGTTTCTCAACACGATGTCCGGCCCCTCAGACTTCCTATATGGACGTAAGTCAAAATCGGCCCCATGCAGCGTGAAGAGTTGAACCCCCATAATCCCCCAATCGCTGTACATTCATGGGGTCCCGGCTTCTTAAACATTCTCGACCCTATACCCTAAACGCTAAACCCCTAAATCCTAAACCCTCACACAATAGATCCCAGTTGCCTCTACCGAAGGCAGACCAGCCTTTCCATCATGTGGCTGCGGAGGCCGGATTCGCACTGCCACTTCCTAGGCTCTCAGTTGCGGGAAATCTAAGGTCGTGGGATCATAGGAATCTATGGGCATCATGGAAAAGAAATGGAAACTACTATATGATTTAGGGCTTAGGGATGTTGTCCCAATCATGGAGAATCAAATGGAAGAGAAAACTCGTGATGAAACCGAAGCTACTATCCTATGTGCGAGGTCTGGGGTTTAGGGCTTCCGGCATACTGTAGGAATACGTACGGTATACATGAATGTATGAGGGATTCTAAGATGCAGGATTCCTGAGAAACAGCAAGTTGCTGCCCCCTAAACCCTAAACCCCTAAACCCTAAACCCCAAGAAATCGATGACAGGAGCCCAGCTTCCAACGGGCAGGCGGCCATGCTTGCCAGCCAGTAATCGGCAGAGCGAAGTAGGAATATACAAATGCCAACGATACCAGAAGTATTGCTGAAGAGCGTGGTGGAAACAAAGATGTGCTCTAAGAAGGTGCCTTTTCTCTGCTTGAACACAAAATGGCTTCTGTATTTGGCGATTCTCAGAAGGGAAAGCCAGGGGGCCGTTATGCCTCTAAACCTGAAGGCGAATCATTGCTGATCTTCAGGCTCTTTCAGTGGTGTACTTAGTTGGCTCGGGCGGCTGTCCCATGCTTTTTGCGCACTTCTATCGCGCTCTGTCCTATCCCGGAACAACATTCACAGCAGCAAGTTTTATGACTACATTTGTACTAGCAGTCGTGAATGTGCGAATGCTACTAGCTCATAGAGAAGCAGTGGCTTGAGTGTCTTAATTATCCATTAAAGACAGCAAGACTAGAAAGATCGGTTGTGGCGGAGCAGTCCTTGGGACCTCGAGCAGCTGCCGAGGTTATGTTGTAAAGTTTAGGGCTCCCTACAACGAAGGCCGAGCAATCCTGAAAAGGTTTAGGGCTTAGGCGTTAGGGTGTAGGGATTGGGATCCAGAATAGATGTCTTAAAGTTGCTGTTGGATACCCCTACTGTTGCATGACCTAAGTATACTGACCTCAGTATACTACAGTACCATGATTTCAAAGGCATAAGGTACTTTTAGTCATACAGGATCTTTAGCATCCACCGTAGGGAGTATCAGGCCGCCTTGCAGGGGAACCGCTGCATGCGAAGCACTGTGCCAAGCCATCCACTAGTCAGTGGCTTCACTCCATATCATTCTTGCTGATGCCAGCGGTGATGGAGAAATGAGCTGTAGCGTGAACTCCTAGTATCCCCCTTAATAACCCCCAGAAGACTCCACTAGATCCCATATATAACCCCTCTCAAGGAGTCTAGACTATGGCTCAAATGGATCTTCGGGGATTGAGGTGCGCTGCCCAGAAACTGAAATGTCCGCCTTCGCACCCTGGCAAACCTACGGGCGGATGATATGTGGTAGTTTCCATAAGTAGGGGTACCTAAATATAGACCCCATATACGATACTCCTCATTATGGGGGCCCCCAAAAAGGGTATCCCCAATCGAAGAGCAATGCCTGCGGCTTTATGACGCTTAAGGGCCTTGCCATCCTGTTATAGCCACCCATAAGTTGGAGAAGCTTGCCTTGTGACACCCCCCGCTTGATCTCTGCGGGCCCCTGCCTCACCTCTGGCTAGCAAGGAATGAAGGAATGGATCCTCATAGTAGTCCCCATGTGATCCCCAGTAATACAGTAGTGCCCATTTTCTTAGTCCACTCCTTCATTCCCTGTGAAGAATCAGCAGAATAACCTTTAGCCCGAAATCCTCTGCATCCCTGTAAGTCCGCAGTTTCCATTTAATTTTGCAGTTGACTTCCTTTGTCCTCACCCACCCTAGACCCTAAATCCGAAACCCTACGAGAGAATGGAAAAGAAAAATGGAAACCACTATATCTGGTGATCATTTGGGGACTTCCATAAGTTCCCTCATTCCTTGCTAGCCCGTCGTAAGTTTAAGACCTTAAGCCCTATATGTCCTCAAAACCCATTAGAAACAGCAGATCATCCCCAAACCCTAAACCCTAAACCAAACCCCTTTTTCTGATAGCTTCATGTCTTGCCGGATCGCCGCTTCCCGGCCCTGGAGTCGGACCCACTCGGCCTAAGTAACTCAGCAACCCTTGGTGGGTGTGGTTTAGGGTTGAGGGTAGGGTCTGGGGGTCGGGGTTCTAGGCAATTCCAGGGTTTGGGATTTAGGCACTTTAGGGCGTAGGGTTCACCACCTACTAGAGAGTGTATTTCGAGCAGGCATAGCAGGCTACAGCATGTTTTGGAGACTTGGAGGCCTCATGATCCAAGAAATGCAAGGGCAATCACACTAAAAAGTTAAACCCTAAACCCTAAACCCTTCAAGCCTTGAGCCCTTACACCCTTAATCCTCGACTCTAAGTCTGAAACAGTGTATCCAAATCCTACGACGCTAAGCCCTACCCGAAACACTGACTAGCTCAGGCCGTCCTCAGGCGGCCACTTCAAGCAAACAGCGAAGATGCTCTTCTGCACTTTGGCACGGAGCCGGGGGTGATGCGGATGGCATCTTGGCCTCAATCTCAAGGTATGTACATCTGCACGTACATACATGCATACATGCATGCATATACAGACATACGGACGCCCACTAGGTTGGACTATACTAGAACATGCTAGAGCTAAAGTGGACTAGACTATAGCCGATAGCTAACGTGCCACACGTGGAGAACTCGCCAAACACAAGAGCAAAGAGAGGGAGAGGAGAGAGTATGCATGTGTATATATGTATACGTAGATATGTAGTGCATATCTGCGCCTATATATATATATGCACATATGTACATGTGTACCACGTGTGCACCTAGAAGCACATTATCTTGATAAGCTCTGCTTGGAGGCCCATGGGACTAAGTAACTACTTATAACTGAGCTTACAACCCTACTCATAATTCCCCTAAATGGCCTTACAGGGGTTACCCCAGTTATAAGTAGGGTTATAATCCCAGCAATAAGTAGTTACTAAGTCCCATGAGCCTCCAAGTGGTCCTCCGCAGGGTTGACGTCTTTTGCTGTCGATACTACATGCTTTCTTAGCATTTTCTAGGTCACCATCACCAGCACCATAAAAATCATTGTCATAATCGTTCTCACCTTCATCCTCACCGTCAATGGCATCATCATCATCATCATCATCATCATCTCGTGCCGAATATTCTTTTCCATTGGCTGCAGCATCTCCTGCACAGCTGGCTCGACTCAACCAGCCGCACGTGGAATTTCACGACTACAGCGTAAGCTGAGGTTTGGACCGGCGGAGGCAGCTGCCAAAGTGTTTCTAAAGTCCGGGCACACCTGCACACGTAGCATGCAGACAGCATGCTATGTCGAGTCAATCAAGGATATGCAGCAAAAGGCACGAGTTTGCCACCATATCCACAAGCCTCACCGTGGCAGTTTCGTGTCGAAATATCTCTGTGTGGTGCAGGTCTGCACGAAGAGTGAAAATTGTAGACAAAATGCGGTAGGTTGTCGCAATTTCAATACTTTTTCGGGGTCCGTTGTGAAACATATGGGCCAATATTTCGTATACCCAAAGTGAATATAAGTTTGACAACCCCCCGCATGTGAGGCCACAGCGCTTGTCGCTTGCCCCACAGATGAACCACATGGGTGCTTCCAAAGACATAGGGGGTATATAGGGGTTTTACATTGGGGGTATAGGATTTGGCATTTCCAAAATAATCCCGACAAATAGAACATGGACAATGAAATGCTTCTTGAGATTATATAATGGTTTACTGGCGCTAGGGTTTCCAAAATCTAGGGATCCCTCTTTGGGTGTCCCCATTATGAGGACTATGATATTTTATGAGCACAGTGATATTTGGGGTCTATATTGTCCCGCCATTTATGGAAGCGCCCACATGCCAGGTGAGAAGTAAACGACCTGGGAAACAGAGCTGCTGCAGTAACCTCTGTCAGCATAGCAATGTCGATAATGTAGAGTACCTAATAAAACTAGCTTGTGACAAGCCCAGGTCTAGGATCCACCCTCCGAGAGATGGATATGATCATCATTTCTCAGGATGCTCTGCAAGGCATTGCAGGGATTCTGCAACACTTCCTTCTTCTCACCTTAGCTTTTTGTCGAGAGACTCCCCAGGCCCTACTTGGAGGGTCAGGAGCACGTAGTAAGTTATATATAGGGATAACTGGGGATATTGTAGCACTTACAGGGGTTTGGGGTATACTTATGAAATCCTCCTGACTACCCAAACCCTGCACCTTAAGCCCCTGGAGGATCCGGATTGAGGCGCCGGCCGTACTGGACAACTTGCCCTTCGTGGACCTGGCACAGCCCTTGTACTTCTACTAGGGTCTCGGGTTCCCCTACCGCACCCCATACACTTCCCTGTTAAGTAGCTGTCATCAGCACTAATTCTCCTAAAGCGGAAGCCTAGGGGGTTAGTGTAGGAGAGGTGGTATGGGAACCCATGAAGAGGGTTAGTGCCGTGACGAATATGACGGTCATGGTATTGCAATAATACTACCTACAGTTGTGATTATGATCATGATGAGAAACACTACTAGTGAACCTCTCCCCAGCAGTTTGCTTGTCCCCTTGGCAATTTGGATGTTGTCATGGGTATCAGATTTCCTGTCACGGCTTAGTGAGGACCCTGAATTAGCCCATGCTCGTTTAGTGAGATGCATACCACACACACAAAACCCGATGCATGCCCGTATAGCCTTATGACCCCCTTTGCAGCTGGACCTGGCTACGCTGACAACATGACAGGGCCACCACAGCCACGCGATCGCACCATTCAAGCGCGCTCATCCTTACTTAGAGAATCAAGCGGACTTAGTGAGCAGGTTAATCGTGGGCGCAACTGGTCTTATGATACGGGTTCTCGGATCTAAACGTAGATCTACTCATGGGGATAGCTGGAGTTGCACTGTGGCTGGGCGGAGGGGGAAACTGTACTTGCCAAGTCCCCTATGCTTCGAACCAATTGAGGGCGCAGCATTGAAGTAATTACTCAATACGCAAGGACATAACTGCAAGTAAGAAGGGTCCAACGTTGTGGTGGCGGTGGTGGCAGTGGTAGTCGTGCTACTGGTACTATGCTGGGACTACTACTAGTATTACTAGTGCTAGTACTACTACTGGTAGTACAACTGTTCGTAAGAAGCATGGCAAGCTCAAACACTGAGCATGGAGAGGGTGCCGAGCTCGCCTAAGCCAACCCTGACCACTGGACCCTATAGTCCTTCTCCTGAAACGGCAATTGCACGGTAGACTGAACACCCTGAACCTGATGCTTCCACATTAAGGCTAATTCAGAGGAACTTACGGGGGTAGTATGGGGGTGGGGGGCAGCGGGGGAACCCCTAAGACACCTGAAACCTTGAACGTAAAACTCCAAAGCCCAAAACGCTTCAGCATATCTGACGCTCATGCTGTATGGCCCTGCAACATGCGATCGAAGCGCCTGTGAGTAATGACCAAACACGTGCAATCTCCTGCGGATGGCGGTCTTCTTCTTTAAAAAAGGGAGCCTCAAGGACCCTGAGGATATGAAGGGATTGTCCTTGTTAAGGACTGCACAGGGCAGATTTTGAGACACTCGCATCTCGTGTCAGCTTACCAAGTAAACGGCAAATGCATCGTCTCTTCTGCTTCCCCTGACGCCCGAAGCCCTTAAATCCTACAATTCAAGCTCTAAACCAAAACCCTAAGCCTTAAACCCCCAAACCCTAAACCCTTAATCCTAAACCCAAAACCCAAAACCCCTAAACCCTTTAACCCCCCCAAACCCCAAACCTGCCTGTGGAGAGGACTTCTTTCAAGGCTTTGTGCACCAAACGCTCAGAGCGGAGGTCCAAAGCAGAGGTCGCCTCATCGAAGACCAGCCTTGGGGGGCTTTTGGGTTTAGGGTTTAAAGGGCTTTTTGGGGGGTTTGGGGGTTGGGAGTTTAGGGTTCTTGAGTTCCGGGATTGATGAGGATTTTTGGGGGTTTAGGGTTTAAGGTTTCGGGTTCTGGGGCTTTAGGATTTCGAGATGTTGGTCTTAGGGTTGTTGGGTTTATAAGCTTCAAGGGTTTAGGCTTAGGGTATCCTACATGCGGGAATTTCCAACCCTAAATATGGACAAACACCCTGCAGAGACACCCCCAAAAAGGAGCCCCTTTCTTGGAAGCTCCATACATGTCCCCTAGGAGCTATGCCCCACAGCCCTCAACCCTAAACCCCAAAACCTAAACCCTAAACCCCAAAACCTAACCCCAAAACCCCAAAATCTAAACCCCCTACCCAACAGCACGGGAACCCGCTCCGGAACCTGCTCCCAATCTTCTGTGGGCAGAAGACCACTAGGCTACTTAAAGGGAATCCAAGCAAGGAGCTTCAATTTTGAACAACCCGTCCTAACACCAAACCCTGGGGTTTAGGGTTTAGGGTTTAGGGTTTAGGGCTTCTAAATCCTAAGCCCTAAACCCTGAACCCTATGAACCCTATGAACCCTATGAACCCCATGAACCCTATGAACCCTATGAACCCTGAGGATAAGAGGGTTGGGATAACAGATTAAGGCTTTAGGGGCCAAGGTCAAAGGCTTTTCGGGGCTTGGGATTTAGGGCTAAGGATGGTTTGAAGTCTCCGGAAATTTGGGCGGTAGGTTTGAAAGTTAAGGGTTGGTGGGGTACTGGCTTGACGTTTAGGTACATGCAGGGACTACAAGGGGATAACAAGGCCCCCCCTGAGGGTCGTATAGGGATCATCTGTGAAATTATCCCACATTGGAACTTCTGGACTATATATGCTGTTCGCAGTATATCCAGCTCCTTGTATAGCTATAAGGCTATAAGGAGCTACACGGCGTTGCAAGGGCATATGCATTTGCCGGCTTTGAAGTCTTTTCGCTTCAGGCTTAGAGTTTGAGGGTTGTGGGTCAAAGCTTGTCGTTGTTATATGGCAAGCGTGCTCTTCAGATTCATTTCCACCCCTCGAAAGTTCCAATGCAATCCTTATCACCTACGTACTACCGGTGAGCCTTGAAGCGTTTTCAAGACTATCCTCCCAAACCCAAACCCGAAGCTCGGAAGCCTTCCAAAACCGAAAACCGCCAACACTGAATCCTAAAACACACACATCCGAAGCCATAAAACTCTCATCCCCAAACCCTAACATCCCCAGACCTAAACCCTCAATATAAGCACTGTGTTCCGCTATATAATCCCCTAGTAGATTCCATTTTCTTTTCCATCGTCCCTATTAATAACCTCAATATACCCTAATAACCATCACTGCAAAGGAGCATTCGCGGCCTGCGGGCCAAAGCACGGGCAATGCAAACACGCTGCTTTTGGCCCCCACTCAAGGCCTGACCCCTCTCCTGGGTTTGGTATTTTGGGGTTTACAGTTCCATGTTCGGACTTGTAGGATGTTAGGGTTTCGCGTCAAGGGTTCGGGGATGTTCGAGGCTGCAGGATGAAGACGCAAGAGCTTAGGGTGATTTTGTGGGTGTTGTATAAGGAATACATGGCTCTATAGACTGTAGTCAGATGTAGGGAGTATGCTTCATGGTGCGTGAGTCCTTTTTGGCTCATACGAAGCTTTTACTGCAATCCGTTGCTCGGGTGTTCTCGCATCCCCTGCAGACGGAACTTCCGTGGTGCTTGCATAGAATATCGCAAAGCCCGTCCTTCAAACCACTTTCATTCAGGTCTCGCCAGCAGGGGTGTCTAAGCCCTGTGGAAGATGATCCGCAAACTCGTTGACATGCGCCGCAGCGATGGATTCCATGACGGCTTCTTCATCTGGAGTATGATGGGTGTCCTTCCCGTCATTCACTCCGTATTCAACCTTGGGTGGTGTTAGAACCTCCCAAAACTGTTTCAGAAGTGGCAGTTCCTAATCCCCACGACTCTTTTCAGGTCCCCAAGGCTGTCAATATTGGAAGCTCCAAGGGAAATCAACGCTTGATACAATACGAAAACGAACCATCTAGTTAAGAACCAAACAAGACAGATCTGAAAGGTTTTCCACATACACTCTATGCAATCCTACATAGGGATCCTTAACATCTGCTTATAATCCCACACAGCCCTAGAGTCCCTGAGGGCCCTAACCTTCAAACCCCAAACCCTAAACCAAACAGGTTCCTAGATTCCCCTATTTCTAACCCTAGAAAAAATGTAATTTTTGCTGTTCCTTAGGATTATAATAAGCAAAAAGTAAAAATCATTTCCAAGTACCCCTAGCCTTGAAGTTATCCTTTTGCTCTAGGCGCTTTGCCAAGGCAAGATTTGTCTTAACGCCATCCTAGCAACATTTTCCCGGATGGTCAG